TATTAATACTTGTTATTTTTGAAATAATTTCATATTTCATTTCATGAACTAGTATTATAAATTTTGACTAACCAAGTAAATAAAAATGCAAAACAAAATCATATAACATATTTATTAAAAAGAAAAACGAGAATGGGGAAGAAAATAAAATAAGATTATGTGATATGAGATTGGGCCCAAGTGATTTACGCACAATTTGGATCGTGGAGTGCACAGCTCTAGTTATTTTAGTTAGTTGGGACTGCACCACCACATGATTTTTCTTTTACTTAATTTTTTCCTTTAAAGTATTTTGAGGTTTTGTTGAGGTTTTTCTGCCGGCTTTGTAAACACAAAGCTCAAATCTATGGGAAACGCTACGATCTCGTTATCGTACCATCCCGTCGGGTGTTTTAACCGTTGGATCATCTATCTTATCTAACTACACGTGGATCCAACGGTTAAAACAACCAACAGGATAGTACCATAACGGAACCGTAGCATCTCCCTTTATTATAATGGAAAACCTAAGGTTTGTAATTTTAAACCTCACTCAAAACCTCATTGTTAAAGATGCTACCAATAAAATTTTTATAGTAAATTATTTACAAGATACATTCCCATGAATACATGTCTATGTACCGAAAAAATTGGAAGATTCAAAACATACAATGTTTATTCCGTAGAAATATTCGATGTTGTTAACTTGTTATGAAAAATTGGTAGATTCAAAACATATACTTTTATTCCATAGAAATATATTCGATGTTCTTAAACTTGTTATGCCGTTATCTAATAATGACATTTTTATACTACAATGTTTTGTCGTCATGAAAATTAATGTTAAAGAGGAGTTGTAGTAACAAAGGTAAGATGGTAAACTTGGATTGGTACAAAATAATTGTGCATGGAATTCATTAAATATGAAAAATATTTTATAAATTGGTTTTTAAATAAAATGGATTGTTTAGATGGATAATACTCCCCTACCCACAGTGGACACATGTTAATATGTCCATTGGTTATGTGGCATGCACATATTGGTGATGTTAATATATTCAAAAAAATACATCATCAATGTGTGAATGCCACATAAGCGGTAGGCCTGTAGATTAGATTACAATCTCTCTTTATTTGTATTCTTATAAGGAACAATTTTTGAGTCTTTGATGCAACTGAAACTTATCTTAAAACTGTAGATTAGATTACAATCTCTCTTTATTTGTATTCTTATAAGGAACAATTTTTGAGTCTTTGATGCAACTGAAACTTATCTTAAAACTTCTAGAACATCTGTCAGCATTAGGAAGAGCACTTATTTATGGTTGTAGAAGAAAGAGGTTTACGGCATTAAGAAGAGCACTTATTTATCGTTGTAGAAGTATGAGGTTTACTAAAGTCCAGATAGTTCGGATATCAACACATACATATAACTCATAATATTTTTATTTATAATAGTGCATTGAATAAGATTAGTACTAATGTAAAAGATCAAATTTTTAGTAAATACAAAGTGTGAAGCAATTGCAAAATCCCGAGGGCGTCTCTTTCACAGTATTTTTTTCTTCTGTAGTATTTAATGTGGCAATAATAGTTGGCGGTTAGAATGAATGCTTTCAACGTGGGGTGTTAGGACTTAGGAATGTAAAGTATTGTACGAAAGAAACCCCGTGTGGTTTCAGTTTTCACACAGTGGGAAAACAATTGATACTAAAAGAAAAAAATATATATATTCCAACATCAGTTACAGACTTACAGCATACAAACATTTATGGGGAAAAGGATAATGAGAAAT